CCTAAGCCTCTGCTCTTTGTGTGGTTTCTGTTTCTGTGTCCTAAGCCTCTGCTCTTTGTGTGGTTTCTGTTTCTGTGTATCTGGTCCTGTTTTCCACTCACTCCTCAGTCTGCCTCTCCACTCCTCAGTTTTTATCATTCACTCCTCAGTCTGCCTCTCCACTCCTGTCACGGTCAGCGGCCCCCGCTGCCCCCCCATCTGCCTAAGCCTCTGCTCTTTGTGTGTTTTCTGTTTTTGTGTATCAGGTCCTGTTTTCCACTCACTCCTCAGTCTGCCTCTCCACTCCTCAATCTTTATCATTCACACCTGTCCCTCATCAGCCACCTGCCCAGGTGCTCTCATTACTCACTCTCCCTCTGCCTTATAAAAAGCCTTTCTCTCCTTCACTCCTTGTCTGGTCATTGTTCTGTGTTTACAGACATCTCAGTCCTCTTCTGTCTTGTCTGTTTCTTGTCCACCTGATTATCTGCTCTGCCTTGTTTCTGATCCTGTCTGCCCAAGTAAGTTTTGCTGCACCGACAGCCTTTTGTTTTGTTATTAAAAAAATAAATTATTTTTATTTTTAAACTCCTGCCTCGTTCGCCTCTCTGCAATTGGGTTCCAACACTGAGGATTGTGACATACAGGCGATTCTTTCAAACATAATGAAGTATTTATCTACGTCTTTTTCATTAAATGGAGGTACCAATGAAACATGTCTACTCACATTGAACTCACGAGCAGGTAAAGGAGAAGAAGCGCTTTCCAACTCCTTTAAACGTATCTCGGCGTCCAGCTCCATTTTTCGTTGTTCAAAGAGAAGTTTTTGTAACGTTATTTCTTTTTCATGTTCCCTCATTTTTAACTCAAGATCCCGCAAGCGGATCTGCTTGTCTACCTCAGATGGGGAAAACACAGGGCTTCTAGGGGACGTTGCCGCAGGAAGAATTCCTATCTGCACTAACGCAGCCATTAATTCACTTTCCACAGTTTCTCTTCGTGTGCGTTTATCCACAGTGATTTCATAATAGTCTGCCACGCTTAACAGTTGCTCTTTTGTGCAACTAATCAGAACATCTACTGTGGGCTGTTCCACAAAGCTTCCTAGATCAAACTCCATGATCAAACACACACAGGTGGAGAGCTGTGTCTAACGGTTCACACACACACAACAGCGGTAAACACTAACGAAAATTTCCCAGCAGCACCTGAACGCACCACTAGCAAATTCACACACACACAGCTGACAGCGCTCAACACAATCAGCAGTCTAAACCGCAAAACAGCAGAGCTATTTATCACAACTAGTTTGGAACTACAACCAGATCAAATCCCGGACCCGAGCTCCCAATAAATATGTTACGACCGGCTCAGACCGAACATATTTAAGGGACACAGGACACCAAAAGAAGGTTTAAAAATAAAACTTTATTAAACCTAAGTTTTATAAATCACTCCGGGCAGCAGGCGAAGTCTTCGTGGGCTCCTCCCTCCTGGACTGGAGAGCACCTCCTTCAGGACCCGTGTCACCAAACAAAAAGAAAGTAAAGTAATAAAAAGAAAGGAGGACCAGGTGAGTTTGGCCAAAATCAATATAACGCCGCCTGAGCAGGGCCAACCCTGTACAGGGTCGTCGAAGCCTCACAGACAGCGGACTACCTGTCCAAAAGATGTCTAGGAGTAAAGAAAAAAGAAGACGAAAACAGGACTACCAAATCTCACCCAGTCAGAGGGCTTTAGTCTGAATGACTACAGCAAACGGGAGGAAAAACAAAACTGACCCAGATCGCAGGACCGTCCACGGTCAGCACAATCACCTCCCTGAACAATAAACAGAAACACCCAAACGTCCACAATCACACAGCTCAGGCCCCTCTACCTGAGCTGAGCTAGGCTTCCACAAGCACACTCAAGGTCTAAATGCATAAATTAAGCACCCAGGCCTAAATCTCAAACAACGAGCACTCAGCAGCTCTTTCATATCTCCTCAACAGGAGCTTACCTCTTAACGAGACAACAAGGGTGGGCGGAGAACACCCTAGTACCAAACAGCAATCAGCACCACCACCTCTGAGTTCCTCAAGACTCCGCACTCTAAGAACCACACTCTGAAGCTTATATAGGAGCTTCAGTCAGAACTCCCAAGCTGACTGCAATTAAGCTGATTAAAATAGAGAGGCGTGCCCAAGAAGAAACAAAACTGCAGCTCATGTACAAAACTTAGAAGGTGTCACTAGGGGCACCCTAGGGTACATAACACCCCCACCGCCACTATTTTTGTATGGGGGAAAATGTAGGCATGCTGTGACACATAATACATTTCACCATACAAAAAAAAACAAGTTGGGCAGGGCTCTCAGAAGCGAGAGAGAGAATCAGCTATAACATTATCCTTACCTCTAACGTGTATTATCTCAAGATTAAAAGGCTGTAGCCGCAAGGACCAGCTCATCAAGCGGCGATTTTTATTACACATGCGGTTTAAAAAGGTAAGGGGGTTGTGATCGGTATACACTGTAACGGGGTTACAAGAACCACCATCGTATACCTCAAAATGTTCTAGGGCCAGAACTAAGGCTAAAGCTTCTTTCTCAATAGTAGAGTACCCTTTTTGATGTTTATTCAGCTTTCTGGAAAAGTAGGAAACAGGGTGTTCTATTCCATCAGTTCCCTCCTGAAGGAGAACAGCTCCTACGCCAGAGTCACAAGCGTCTACGGCAAGTTTAAAAGGGACATCAAACTTTGGGGCAGCCAACACAGGGGCCTTGGTCAACAATGTCTTTGTTTGCTCAAAAGCAGTTTGGCAACAGGTAGACCAGACAAAAGGCACTTTTGGACTGAGCAGGTCCGTTAAGGGGGCGGCCACAGAGGAGAAATTGTTACAGAATCCTCTGTAATACCCAACCATAGCCAGGTAACGGCGCAACTCAGTTCGAGTGGAAGGAACGGGGACAGATAATATGGCTTCCACTTTTGTGTCCACAGGACGTACTTGTCCACTTCCGACACGTTTTCCTAAGTAGGTCACTGTGGCGTGGCCAAACTGACACTTAGCCAAGTTAATGGTCAGATTTGCATCTCTTAGGCGAGCGAAAACAGTTTGCAAGTGTTTTAGATGGTCCTCCCAAGTATCAGAAAATACTACTACATCATCCAAGTAAGCTTCACAGAAAGGTAACTCTGACAAAACAATATTCATTAATCGTTGGAAAGTAGCAGGAGCGTTTCGCATACCAAATGCCATAACGGTATACTCTAAAAAACAATCAGGAGTGACAAAAGCAGAGACCTCCTGTCCACGTTTAGTCAATGGCACCTGCCAATATCCTTTTAAAAGGTCAAGAGTGGTCACAAAGCGGGCCACACCAACATGGTCAACACAATCCTCCATCCTGGGGAGAGGAAAACAATCAGGTTTGGTTACTGCATTCACTTTTCTATAGTCGGTGCAGAAACGGTCCTCACCGCCAGGTTTTGCGGTTAATAGACAAGGAGAACTCAATGCACTAGTGCTTGGTGCAGCTAAACCATGGTCCAGCAAGTACTGCACTTGTTTATTTAAGCGGAGACGTTTTTCTGGATTCACTCGATATGGGTGTTGTTTTATGGGCCTTATTTCACCTACATCAATATCATGTGATATGATATCCGTCCTAGAAGGAATGTCTGTAAATAGACAGGAGTTAGGGCTAATCAACTGTCTGAGATCTTCTTCCTTCTGACTATCCAGATGTGAAAACAACAAGTGTGGATTACGGAGGTAATGAGAATTGGAGAGCTTTCCTTCAAGGATTTTAGGAGGGGAGCTGTCCACCTCCTGTTCAGCACCGGAGAGCTCCTCCTGGTTTTCTACAAGCTGGGGAATTTTAGAAACACAACAGAGGGGAACAACTGGCGTATTGTTCCGCTCAACGTACCGTTTTAGCATATTAACATGACAAAGTCGAGAAGTGCGCTTCCTACCGGGAGTGGAAATCAAGTAGTCACGATCATTTATCTTTTTCATAATGATATACGGACCACTATAACGAGCCTGTAAGGAATTTCCAGGAATAGGAAGTAAAGCTAGCACTTTTTCACCAGGTTGAAATGGTCTCATTACAGCTTTTTTGTCAAACAATGATTTCATTCGGGC